GCATCTCAGTCTGTCTGTCTGTGTCTCTGTCCATCTGCTTCTGTCGGTCTGTCCATCTCCTTTCAGTCTGTCTGTCTGTCTGTCTCCTCACAGTCTGTCTGTCTTCCTCTTGGTCTGTCTGTCCACCTAGATGTCCATCTGCTTCTCCTGTCTGTCTGTCCATCCGGTCTTGGTCATCCGTCCATCCCTTGTTTGTCTGTCTGTCCCTCAGTCTCTGCATCTGTCTGTCTCTGTCTGTCTGCAGGTCAGTCTGTGTCTGGGCCCCTGTCTGTCCATGTGTGTGTGTCCATGTTTCTGTCTGTCCATCTCCTCTCTGTCTGTCTCATTGTCTGTCTATCTGTCCATCTGTCTCTGGCTCTGTCTGTCTGTCTATCTGTCCATGTGTCATCCTCTTGGTCTGTCTGTCTGTCTGTCCATCTGCCTCTCAGTCTCTCTGTCTGGGTCTGTCTGTCCTGTGTCTGTCTGTCTGTCTCCTCTCTGTCCATCTGTCTTCCTCTCTGTCTGTCTGCCTCTTGGTCTGTCTGTCCACCTGGCTGTCCATCTGCTTCTTCTGTCTGTCCATCTGTCTGTCCTGTCTTGATCATCTGTCCATCCCTTGCCTGTCTGTCTGTCCGTGTGTCATCCTCTCGGTCTGTCTGTTCGTTTCTGTGTCTATCTGTCTCCCCATCCATACGTCTGTCCCCAACAACTGTCCTCTTTCCCCCTCAGGCCAGGCCGACTTTGACCTCGCCGACGCCCTGGATGACCCCGGTGAGTCCTGACCTCTCACCTTTCCCCCCCCATGGCTTCACCCTGGCCGCTAGGCCTCACATGGGGCCTTGATCCAGCTGTGGGCCTGAATCCCATGTGACCCTTTGCCACCCCCTGAGGCCTTGGGATCAGGGGTTGGGGGGGTCAGGGGAGGTCAGGGGTCACCACCCTCTCTCTCTTCGCCCACAGATCCCACCCCGAAGCCCATCTCGGATGAGTGGGGTCCTCCCACACACACACCAGGCCCACCCAGGGTGGGGAAACTGAGGCACGGCCCACTCCTGGCACATAGGGCTGTACCCGCAGCTGCCTGACCCGCCCAGGCCGTGACCTCCGGGTCGGGAAGGAGGTGAGCGGGGTCAGGGGGGGTCAGGGGGAGCCAGGGGTCAGGGGAAGGAGGGGGGTAAGGGGAGGGGAGAGGCCGGCCTCCATCCTCCCTCGCTCTCTTCCCGCAGACATCTACCTCCCGACGCCAGCCTCCACCCCAGCCCCAACCCCCGCCAGGCACAGGAGGTGAGGACATGGAAGGGGGGAGGCCCGGATGTGGAGGCTGGGGATGGAGAGGCCTGGATGTAGAGGCCCGGATGTAGGGAACCCAGTGTGGAGGCCCGGATTTATGGACCCGGATGTGGAGACCCCAGTGTGGAGATCTGGATGTAGAGACCCAGATGTGGAGACCCCAGTGTGGAGACCTGGATGTAGAGACCCGGATGTGGAGACCCCAGTGTGGATTCCTGGATGTAGAGACCCGGATGTAGGGACCCAGACATGGGATCACAGATGTAGGGACCTGGATGTGGGTACCCTGATGTAGGGACCCGGATGTAAGGACCCGGATGTGGAGGCTGAGCTCCCAGGGCTGCGTCTCTCCTCCCCCTCCACCCCAGGTGCTGGTGACGAACACGTGATCCACGGATACCCTCCAGGGTAAGTCCCGCCCCCTCAGCCGCCCCACTTCCGGTCCCCTCCTGATCTGGGCCCAGGCGTGTATTGGGACTTCCGGTCTGCATGAGAACTTCCGCTCCTGACAGTATGTGAACTTCTGGTCCAGAGTATCGGAACTTCCGGTCCTGATTGGGAACTTCCGGTCCCTAGTATATAACAACTTCCGGTCCCGACTGGGGACTTCCAGTCCCTAGTGTATAGGAACTTCCAGTCCTGACTATGGGGACTTCCGGTCCCTAGTGTGTAAGAACTTCCGGTCTTCACTGTGGAGACTTCCAGTCCCTAGTATATAACTTCTGGTCTTGACTATGGGGACTTCCGGTCCAAGTGTACAGGAACTTCTGGTCCTGATTGGAAGGACACTTCCGGTCCCTAGTGTATAGGAACTTCCCATCCTGATTGGAAGGGCACTTCCAGTCCCTAGTGTAGAGGAACTTCCCGTATCTAGTGTATAAGAACTTCTGGTATTGACTATGGGGACTTCCGGTTTTGACTGTGGAGATTTCCAGTCCCTAGTATATAGGAACTTCTGGTCCTGACTGGGGACTTCCGGTCCCTAGTATATAGAAACTTCCGGTCCTGATGGGAAGGGCATTTCCGGTCCCTAGTGTGTAGGAACTTCTGGTCTTGACTGTGGAGACTTCCAGTCCCTAGTATATAACAACTTCTGGTCTTGACTATGGGGACTTCCGGTCCCTAGTATACAAGAACTTCTGGTCTTGACTAGGGGCACTTCCTGTCCCTGTTCATGGACACTTATGTCACGCCATCTAATTGCAAGGGGCGTGGCCTGAAGTTGACAGGACACTTGATAATACAAGGGGGCGTGGCCTGAAGATGACAGATAGGACACATGATCATACAACAAGGGGGCGTGGTCTGAAGGTGACCGACAGGACAAATGTCCACACAACAGCCAGGGGGCGGGACCTGGAGGAGACAGACAGCCCCTGTGGCCTTTCAACAGCCATTGGGCGGGGCCTGGAGGTGACAGAGAGCCTCTATGGCCTTCCAACAGCCAGAGGGCGGGACCTGGAAGAGACAGACAGCCCCTGTGGCCTTCCAACAGCCAGGAGGCGGGACCTGGAAGTGAAGGACAGCCCCTGAGCCCATACATTCACTAGTGGGCGGGACTTCTGGGTGATGGGCACCCACAGCATTCATAGAGCTAGCCACGAAGAGGCGTGGCTTCACACATATCGACTCTCCAGCTATTGGCTTGGCAGGGGGCGGGACCCAGGGATGATGGACAGCATGCCCTGCCTTTCAATATCACCCAAGGAAGAGGCGGGACCGGACCCCCAGCTTCCCTGGGCAGGGCCAAAGGATGGAGAGACAGGCGTGTCAGCCAATCAGAGCAGGGGCGTGGCTGGAGGAGTCCCCGGGGAAGCCAATGGGTCCCTCCCTCCAGAGAAGACCCGGATGTCGTGCAGGTGCAATGCATCCTAGGCCTAGGGAGACACAGACCTCCAACCTCGACTTATCCTACCGCCATAAGGAGCTATAGGCCCATCTGGGTCAATCCCTGGAGAGGTCATTGGGGTCCCCTGGGACAGGCACAGAAGGGGAAGAGGTCGCAGGCCTGGTCATCCACCCATCCATCCACCCAACCACCGCCCCCCCTTAGAGTGGGCCAACATCCGGGTACCCCACTTCTCCCACTGGGCCAATCTGAATCCGAGTTCAGGTAGTTAGGGGCAGGACTGTCGTGTGAGGTCCAATCAGCAGCGAGTTGGATTTGTGGGGGGGCTAAAGGGCATGTCTTACAGCTGGACCAATGACAAGTGAATTAGGAAAGTGAGGGCAGGGCTTTCATGGAATAGGCCAATCAGGTGTGAATCTAGGTGGTGGGATGTCCTAGAGGAGGGCAAGACCAAGCCTGTATCCTAGCAACCCACTGGAAATGGTCTGAAATGGAAGGTTGGATTAGTCCAATACCCTAGCAACCACCGGAAATGGCCTGAAATGGAAGGTGGGACTAGTCCAATACCCTAGCAACCACCGGAAATGACCTGAAATGGAAGGTGGGACCAGCCCTGTATTACGACCGGAAATGTTCTGAAATGGAAGGCGGGACCAGTCCTATACCCTAGCAATGACCAGAAGTGGCCTGAAATGGAAAGTGGGACTAGTCCTATACCTTAGCAATGACCGGAAATGACCTGAAGTGGAAGGTGGGAGTAGTCCTATACCCTAGCAATGACTGGAAATGACCTGAAATGGAAGGTGAGACTAGTCCTATACCCTAGCAACGACCAGAAGTGGCCTGAAATGGAAGGGGGGACCAGCCCTGTATCCTAGCATCAACCGGAAATGACCTGAAATGGAAGGCAGGACCAGTGCCCGGCTTCTGACCCCGGTGACCCCTGACCCTGCCGTGCGGTGCGGTGCTCACGAGGTTTTATTGTGTGAGAAGTTAGAGGACATAGGCCCGGATGTGAGAGGGCCCTGGATGGGAGGCTGGGAAAAGGCCCCGGATGGGAGGACCAAGGTGGAGGTCCAGGATGAGAGGCTCAGGATGTGAGAGTCCCCGGATGTGGGAATCCCTGGGTCTGAGAATCCCCAGATGTGAGACTCTCTGAATGTGAAAATCCCCGGATGTAAGAGTTCCCCAGATGTGAGAATCCCCGCATGTGAAAGTCTCTGGATGTAAAAGTCCCTGGATGTGACAATCCCCGGATGTAGGAATCTCTAGATGTGGGAATCCCCGGATGTGAGAATCCCCGGCTGTGGGAATCCCCAGATGTGAGAATCCCTGGATGCGAGAATCCCCAGATGTGGGAATCCCCGGGTGTGAGATTTCCCCAGATGTGGGAATTCCCTGGTCTGAGAATCCCCGGATGTGGGAATCCCCGGATATGAGAATCCCCGGATGTGGGAATCTCTGGATGGGAGAATCTCTGGATGTGAGAATTTCCGGATGTGAGACTCCCCGGATGTGAGAATCTCTGGATGTGAGAGTCTGTATGTAGGAATCCCCGGATGTGAGAGTCTCTGGATGTGAGAATCCTCGGATGTAAAAGTCCCCGGATGTAGGATTCCCCAGATGTGTAAATACATCCCCGGGAATCCCCGGATGTGTCACCAGAAGTGAGAATCCCCGGATGTGAGAATCCCCGGATGTAGGAATCCCCGGATGTAGGAATCCCCGGATGTGAGAGTCTGTATGTGGGAATCCCCGGATGTGGGAATTTCTGTATTTGAGTATACCCAGATGTTTAATACCCGGATGTGAGTCCCCGGATGTGAGAGGCGCAGGCCAGGATCTGCCATAGCCCCAGGGAAGTTGGTGGTTGGGGGTCGGGTCGGGGTCAGAGGTCGGGGATCAGGTGGTCGCAGGCACAGAGCGGTCCGGGCGAGCAGCAGGGCTGCAGGCGCGGGCTCCAGGTGTTGTGTGCAGGGGCGAGGGGCGGGGCCGCGAGGGGGCGGCGCATGCGCATCATCCGGGCCACCGCGGCCTCCACGCGCCTGCGCGTCGCCATCGGGCCCTGCAGCGGGCGAGTCTCCCCTGGGTCCGCCGTCAGGTCAAAGAGCAGTGGCCGCCGGTGGCGGGTCATTCGCCGCCCCGAGCAGGCGCAGGCAGGGAAACCGAGGCAGGTGCCCGAGCCCGGCGGGTCGAAGCGTGGAGTGGCGAAGTGCAGCTTCCACACCGTGTGGCCTGCGGGGGGTGGGGGAGTAACATCCAGGGCCTCACATCCGGGGATTCCCATCCGGGAATTCACATCCAGGACATCACATCCAGGGATTCGCATCCGGGCATTCACATGCAAGACCTTACATCCAGGGATTCCCATTCAGGACTTCACATCTGGGTATTCACATCCGGGGATTCCCATCTAGGACCTCACATCCGGGGATTCACATGCAGGACCTCACATCCGGGAATTCACATCCGGAACCTCACATCCAGAACCTTACATCTGGGGCTTCACATCTGGGGATTCACATCTGGGGCTTCACATCCGGGGATTCACATCCGGGGGGGCCACATCCGGGCATTCACATGTGGGACCTCACATCCGGGGACTCACATCCGGGGATTCTCATCTGGGACCTCACATCCAGGGATTCCCATTTGGGACCTCACATCCGGGGCCTCACATCCGGGGATTCCCATCCGAGGCCTCACATCCGGGATCTCACATCCAGGGCCTCACATCCAGGGATTCTCATCCAGTACCTCACATCCGGGAATTCCCATCGGGGACTTCACATCCGGGGATTCCCATCTCATGACTTCCATCCAGGTCCTCACATCCCGGGATTCCCACATCCGGGTCTCCCACCCCCAGGTCTTGCATCCGGGTCCCTGCGCGCATGCATGCAGCTCCCTCCCCCGCCCCAGGGCCCAACTGAGGTCGAGGCACTCACTTGGGCGGTCGAACCAGCGCACGGCGTGCAGCCGGGCCTCGCAGTAGTGCAGCAGGAAGTCGTGGCCTGCGGCCTGCGCCGTCCCCAGCAGCGCGGGCATCAGGTCCCGGCCGTCCACCTCCCTGCGGGACCCGGATGTGCAGGCTTCTGGGCACTCAGAGACCCGGATGTGCAGGCCAGAGCCCCCAGAAACCCGGATGTGCAGGCCAGAGATCCCAGAGACCTGGATGTCAAGGCTTGAGCCTTTAGAGACCCGGATGTGCAGGCTTCTGAGCCCTCAGAGACCTGGATGTGCAGGCTTCTGAGGCCTTCAAGACCCGGATGTCCAGGCTCCTGAACACTCAGAGACCCGGATGTGCAGTCTTCTGAGCGCTCAGAGGCCCGGATGTGCAGGCCAGATATCCCAGAGACCCAGATGTCCAGGTTTCTGAGCCCCCAGAGACCCGGATGTGCAGGTCTAAGACCCAGGCCTCTGGTCTTAGAGACCTGGATGTGCAGGCCTGAGGCCTCAGAGACCCAGATATCCAAGCTTCTGAGCGCTCAGAGACCCGGATGTCCATGCTTCTGAGCCCCCAGAGACCCGGATGTGCAGGCCTGAGATCCCAGAGTCCCGGATGTGCAGGCCTGAGCCCTCAGAGACCCAGATGTGCAGGCCTGAGCCCTCAGAGACCCGGATGTCCAGGCCTGAGACCTGGGCCTAGGTACTCAGAGACCTGGATGTGCAGCCCTGATGCCTTAGAGACCCGGATATGAAGGCCTGAGTCCTCAGAGAACCAGATGTCCAGGCTTCTGAGTGCTCAGAGGTCCAGATTTGCAGGCCTGAGCCCTTAGTTACCCGGATGTAAAGGCTTCTGAGCCCCCAGAGACCCGGATGTCAAGGCCTGAGCCCCGGGTCTTGGGTCTTAGAGACCCGGATGTGCAGGCTCCTGAGCCCCCAGAGACCCGGATGTGCAGGTCTGAGCCCTCAAAGACCCAGATGTGCAGGCTTCTGAGCAACCAGAGACCCGGATGTGCAGGCCTCAGCCTCCCCCCCTCGGGATCCCCGAGGCCCCGGATGACCCCCCTTCTCCTCCACCCCGTGGGGACCCAGGCAGGCGAACTCCTACCTGTCCGCCGGAACCCAGCCCCCGGCCAGGAGCACCACGGTGGGGAACAGGTCCATGAGGCTGGTGGGCTCAGGCACCAGGCGCCCTGCGGGCAGTTTCCTGGGCCAGCGCACCAGCCCAGGGACCCGGATGCTGCCCTCCCAGCCGCCCATGCCTTTGCCACCTGCAAGGGGGGGGCGGAGGGCAAAGGTCAAGGGGCGGGGGCGGGCTGCGTGGGAGGCCCCGCCCACCCTGCCTCAGTTTCCCCCTCGCCTCGGTGCACGCCGTTGGAACCCCCGAGGCGGGCGCCCCCAGCCCGGGCCTCCAGTGAGGCACCGTGGTCCGACGTGAAGTAGACGAGGGTGCGGCGCCCCAGCCCCGCACCGTCCAGCGCTGCCAGCAGTCGCCCTGCGGGAGGGGGGGGGGAAATGGGTCCGTGCCTCAGTTTACCCCCAGCATCCACCGTGCCTCAGTTTACCCAACATGCATCATGACTCAGTTTACAAATTTCCATCGTGCTTCAGTTTATCCTCAATGCCCAGTGACTTAGTTTACCCAACAGGCACCCACCGTGCCTCAGTTTACCCCCAACGCTCACCGGGCCTCAGTTTACCCAAATGCATTGTGCCTCAGTTTACCCCCAACATGCACTGTGCCTCAGTTTACCCAAATGCACTTTGCCTCAGTTTACCCAAGTGCACCGTGCCTCAGTTTACCCTAAACATGCACCGTGCCTCAGTTTACCCCTATATTTGGGCCTCAGTTTACCCAAGTGCACCGTGCCTATTTACCCAAATGCACCGTGCCTCAGTTTACCCCAACCCGCTGACCCCGTCCCCGTGCCTCAGTTTACTCCCATCCCGGTGCCTCAGTTTACTCAACCCACTCACCTCGTCCCCGTGCCTCAGTTTACCCAACATGCACCATGTCTCAGTTTACCCAACATGCCCAGTGACTCAGTTTACCCAACATGCACCATGCCTCAGTTTACCCAAATACACCGTGCCTCAGTTTACCCCAATACCCAGTGACTCAGTTTACCCAACATGCACCGTGCCTCAGTTTACCCCTATACTCGGGCCTCAGTTTACCCACATCCACCGTACCTCAGTTTACCCAAATGCACCGTGCCTCAGTTCACCCTGAACATGCACCGTGCTTCAGTTTACCAACATGCACCGTGCCTCAGTTTACCCAAGTGCACCGTGCCTCAGTTTACCCCCAACATGCCCAGTGACTCAGTTTACCCAAATGCACCATGCCTCAGTTTACCCAAACCCCATGCCTCAGTTTATCCCCAACACACTGACCCCGTCCCCGTGCCTCAGTTTACCCAAATGCACCGTGCCTCAGTTTACCCCAACCCATTGACCCCGTTCCCATGCCTCAGTTTCCCCCATCCCGCTCACCCCATCTCTGTGCCTCAGTTTCCCCCAACCCACTCACCCCACCCCTGTGCCTCAGTTTCCCCATCCCGCTCACCCCGTCCCCATGCCTCAGTTTCCCTATCCTGCTCACCCCACCCCCGTGCCTCTGTTTCCCCCATCCCACGCACCATGCCTCAGTTCCTGCCCCCCCGCACTCACCCACCATCCAGTCAAGCTCCTCCACGTTGTCGCCGTAGGCGCCGTGCGCGCTGCGGCCCCGGAAGGCAGGTGAGGTGACCAGCGGGACGTGGACGTGGAGGAAGGAGACGAGGAGGAGGAAGGGGCGGGCCTGGTGCCTGCGGATCCACGTCAGACCCCGCCCCCACCATCAATAACCTCACTGATAACCGACCTGATCAGGTATTGCCAATAATCGATCAGATGATCGATAATTGATCCTGATCTGATCAGATATTACCAATAATCGATCCTGATCTGATCGATAATACCAATAATCGATCATGATCTGATCGATAATACCAATAATCAATAGTGATCTGATCAAAAATACCAAAATCGTGATCCGATCAGTTATTACCAATAATCAAACAGATCTGATCAGTTATTACCAATAATCAAACATCTGATCGATAATACCAATAATTGAACATGAGCTGATCAGTTATTACCAATAATCGAACATCATCTGATCAGTTATTACCAATAATCGATCATGATCTGATCAATACTACCAATAATCGATCATGGTCTGATCTGAGGTTTACCAGATGTCTCTACAGATCTACTAGATGGAACATCCGGGGACCTGAGGTCTACCAGATGTCTATAGAGATCTACTGGATGTACATCCAGGGATCTAAGGTCTACCAGTTGACTATAGAGATCTAGTAGATGGAATTGGTCCTCCTCCCCGACCCCAGGCTGACCTGTGGATGAAGGCCTCAGCCTCCCGCAAGAAGAGCCCCGCGCTGGCCTCAAACCTCAGAGGCTGCTGGACGACCTGGTGATCCCTCATCAGGAAGCAGTCAGCATGGACGATGAAGATACCCAGGAGGCGGGAGGTGCAGGCCAGGAGCAAGGCCCCACATCCGGGGCCCAGCACCCAGGGCACCCAGCGCAGGCCCAGCAGGCCCGTGACCTTCCCAGCGGCCAGGCAGAGCAGGGAAAGCAGCAGCAGCTGAGCCCCCAGGTCCAGGGGCCCTTGCAGACGCGCTCGCTTCTCCGAGGGCTCCGCTTGCAGGCAGTCCCCCATCAGGGTGAAGGGGACCCCGAAGAAGGAGTCAAACCCGTGGTTCAGGGGGTGGTGGCAGTGGTCAGTGGGGGACTCACAGTTGAGGCCCAGGTGCCATTTGCCTGGAGGGGAAGAGATGGATGGATGAGTGAATGGATGGGTGGATGGATGGGTGGATGGATGGGTGGGTGGATGGTTGGGTGGGTGGATGGGTGGGTGGATGGATGGATGGATGGATGAATAGGGGAATGGGTGGGTGGATGGATGGATGGATGGATGAATAGGTGGATGGGTGGATGGATGGATAGATGAGTGGATGGATGGATGGATGGGTGGATGGGTGGATGGATGGATGGATGGATGGGTGGATGGATGGATGGATGGATGGGTGGATGGATGGATGGATGGGTGGATGGATGGGGGATGGGTGGATAGATGGATGGGTGGATGGATGACTTCTTTCTTACCTATGAGGCCGGTGGCATATCCCTGCTCCTGCAGGATCTTGGCGAAGGTGATCTCGGAGGTGGGCAGCCCGCCCGACACGGCTGCCCACTGCAGCACGCGCGCCCCGTTGGTGGTCACCATGCCTTCCAAGAGAGAGGAGAAGGACCCTAGGTCAGTGATGATGGCGTCCCGGGTCAGGAGGGGCTATCTAGCACCTTCAGGGGGAAGGCCTGCTGTGTCTGGGATAGCCTGGGACCTGCGCACCCGGGGTGGAAAGGACCCCAGCCCTGTGAGCCCCCGGGGGAAACCAATATGGCATCACTTCCGGTTTCCTGGCGTTTCAGGGGGGAAGTCCCAGAGTCTCAGGAATTTGAACCTGAGATCCTCAGAGTAGTCCTCCCCTCCCTCTGATGGACCTCAGTGCCCTAGATGTTGAGCCTCAGTTCCCTGGATGTTGGACCTCAGGTCCCCGGATGTTTGATGTTAGTATCCCGGATGTTGGCCCTCAGATCCCCGGATGATGGAGTTCAGTGCCCTGTATGGTGGATATCAGGACCCCAGATGTTGGACTTCAGTTACCCAGATGTTGTAGCTCAGTTCCCTGGATGTTGGATCTTACAACCCCGGATATTGGAGCTCAGATTCGAGTATGTTGGCCCTCAGATCCCCAGATGTTGGAGCTCTGTTCCCTGGATGTTGGGGCTTAGGTTCCCGGATGTTGGATCTTAGTACCCCGGATGGTGGATGTCAGGTCCTAGGATGTTGGAGTTCAGTTCCCAGAATGTTAGGCCTCAGATCCCCGGATGTTGGATCTTAGTACAATGGATGTTAGAGATAAGGTCCCCAGATGTTAGAGTTCAGTGCCCCGGATGTTGGTGCTCAGATCCCCGGATGTTGGATCTTAGTAACTGGATGTCAGAGATGAAGTCCCTGGATGTTAGAGCTCAGTGCCCTGGATGTTGGTGCTCAGTTCCCCGGATGTTAGGCTTTAGATCCCCGATGTTGGGTCTCAGATCCCCAGATGTTGGATATCAGGTCCATGGATGTTGGATCTTAGTACCCCGGATGTTGGCTCTCAGATCCCCGGATGTCCCGCCCCCACCTCCCCCCCACCGCCCCCTCCATTCCCCAAATGTCCCACCCCCCCATACCGACCCAGGCGCACAGGGTAGCGTCCCGTCAGGAAGGCCGCACGGCTCGGGCTGCAGACGGACGCTGCCGCCAGGTGCTGGGTCAGCCGCACGCCGTCCCGGGCCAGGCCGTCCAGGTGCGGGGTGCTGTGGGGGGAGAGGAAAACTGAGTCACAGCCTAGAACATACGGGGACCTGGGGTCTAACATCCGGGGATCTAATGCACAACATCCCAGGAGCTGAACTCCAACATCCAGGGCCCTGAGATCCCACATCCGGGGATCTAAGATCCAACATCTGGGGACCTGAGGTCCAACATCCTGGGATCTAAGGTCCAACATCTGGGGCCCTGAGATCCCACATCCAGGGTACTAAGATCTATATCTGTGGACTGGACTCCTACATCCGGGGATCTAAGGCCCAACATCCGGGGACTTGAGGGCCTACATCCGGACAACTAAGATCCAACCTCTGGGACCTGAGCTCAAACATCTGGGTACCTGGTCTCCAACATCTGGGACACTAAGATCCAACATCCAGGGATCTGATATCCAACATCCGGGGGCCTGATCTCCAACATCTGGGGTACTAACATCTAACATCTGGGAACCTGATTTCCCACATCTGGGTTATACTAAGATTTAACATCCGAGGACCTGATCTCCAACATCCGGGGCACTAACATCCCACATCCAGGGATCTGATATCCAACATCCGGGGACCTGATCTTCAACATTCAGGGAACTGAGATCTAACATCCTGGGAATTGAACTCCAACATCCGGGGACCTAACATCCAACATCCGGGGACCTGAGGTCCACTAGATGTCTATACAGTTCTCCTGGTGGAACATCCGGGGAACTGAGCTCTAACATCTGGGGTACTAACATGTAACATCCGGGGACCTGATATCCAACATCCAGGGCAGTAAGATTCAACATCCGGGGACCTGATCTCCAACATCGGGGACCTGATCTCCAACATCCGGAGCACTAACATCTAACATCCGGGAACCTGATTTCCCACATCCGGGGCATTAAGATCTAACATCCGTGGACCTGTCCTTCAACATCCAGGGCACTAACATCCCACATCCGAGGATCTGATATCCAACATCCGAGGATCTGATATCCAACATCCGGGGTACTAACATCTAACATCGGGGACCTGATATCCAACATCCAGGACACTAAGATCTAACATCCAGGCACCTGGGCTCCTACATCCAGAGGAATAAGATCCAACATCCGGGGCACTGAGCTACAACATCCAGGGTACTAATAGCTAACATCCGGGGACCTGAGCTCCCACATTCGGAGCACTAACCTCCAACATCTGGGGACCTGAGCTCCTACATCTGGGGCACTGAAGTCCAATATCTGGGGACATAATCTCCCACATCCGGGGTACTAAGATTTAACATCCAGGGACCTGATATCCAACATCCAGGGCACTAACATCCAACATCCGGGGACCTAGTCTCCAACATCCGGGGTACTAACATCCAACATCCAGGGAACTGAAGTCCAACATCCGGGAACCTGATTTCCCACATCCGGGGTATTAAGATTTAACATCCGGGGACCTGATATCCAACATCCGGGGCATTAAGATCCAACATCCGGGGACCTGGTCTCCAACATCCGGGGACCTGGTCTTCAAATCCGGGGTACTAACATGTAACATCCGGAGACCTGATATCCAACATCCGTGGCACTAAGATCCAACATCCGGGGATTTGATATCCAACATCCACGATACTAACATCCAACATCCGGGGAACTGAGTTACTAGATGTCTATACAGTTCTCCTGGTGGAACATCCAGGGATCTGAGCTCCCACATCCGGGTAACTAAGGCCCTACATCCGGGCCTCCCCCTCTGCTCACCGCAGGCTGCGGTTCCCGAAGCTGCCCAGGTCGCCCAGGCCCAGGTCGTCGGCCAAGAGCAGCAGGAAGTTGGGGCGCGAGGGGGCGGGGCCTGCGCAGGGGCCAGGGGGGAGGAGGAGGAGGAGGAAGGCGAGGGGTGGGGCTGCGCAGCTGCTGTGCGACCTGAGGAGGAGAGAGAGGAGGAGGAGGGGTGGATGGGTGGATGGATGGGTGGATGGATGGATGGATAGGTGGATGGGTGGATGGATGGATGGATGGGTGAATGGATGGGTGGATGGATGGATGGTTGGATGGATAGGTGGATGGGTGGATGGATGGATGGATGGATGGGTGAATGGATGGGTGGATGGATGGATGGTTGGATGGATGAGTGGATGGGTGGATGAGTGGATGGATGGATGGGTGGATGGGTAGATGGATGGATGGGGGGATGGGTGGATGGATGGATGGGTGGGTGGATGGATGGATGGGTGGATGGATGGATGGGTGGGTGGGTGTATGGATGGATGGGTGGGTGGATGGATGAATGGATGGATGGGTGGATGGATGGATGGGTGGGTGGATGGATGGATGGATGGATGAATAGGTGGATGGGTGGATGGATGGGTGGATGGATGGGTGGATGAATAGGTGGATGGGTGGATGGATGGATGGATGGGTGGGTGGATGGATGGTTGGGTGGATGGATGGGTGGATGGATGGGTGGATGGATGGATGGGTGGATGGGAGGAGGGATGGGAGGACTCCCCCTCCCTCCAGGCCCTCTCCTGACCAACATGGCGCCCAGGATCGCATCCTTCCCATGATGCTCCCCGTTTCCTGGAAGAGAAGGCCGGAAGCAGGAAGTGGGGAAGAGCTGAGGAACATCCGGCCACCCTAGGGCCAGGCTGCTGTTGCCCCCACCAGTACATCAGCCCCTCACCTTGTCTTTCCAGGCTTGTGGCAGGGCCCTGCAGCCCCCACCCCAGGGCATGGTGGGACATCCGGGGGGGCTCCAAAAAGCAATCGAAGCCCCCCCACCCCGGGTCCCCACACCTCTCCCCGTGTTCCCCAGAGGACGAACTCACATCCACAGTTCTCTGCCATCAGCGCCTGGGCCTGCTGCTCTCCCTGCCAGCCAGGAAGCTCGCAGGGGTCAAATGTCCACGTCACTCCAGCAGCCAGAACTCCACAACCCCCCTCCAAAATAAAAGTCCCCTTGTTCCTTGGAAAGGAACAGGATGTGGTGCTGAAGGGGAAGGCAGGGAAGAAAGGGAAAAGCCTGGAGTTGCTGGGCTGGGCGCCAAGAAATTGCCAGGCCTGGCAGAGGCAGGAGGAAGGGGAGGAGGGAAACCTCGAGAACTACATGGAGGGCTGCAATAAGAGTCAGGACCGTCAGGGAGCGTGGCCTGTGCCCAGGGGGCGTGGCCTGTGCTCAGTAGGGCGTGCCAGAGCTCAGGAGGGTGTGGCCTGGGCTGGGGAGGAAGTGAGGGACTCAGGAGGGCTTGGCCTGCGCTGGGGGGCGGAAGTGAGGAAGAATTCCATCCAGAAGCAGCATGGCTGCTTTATTGCCTCCGAGTCTGGGAAAGGACCCCAACGGCCAAAGCGCAGCTGGAGCCCGGGGCCAAGGTGTGGAGTGCCCGCTCCGCCCACATCTGGGTTCCACCTCTCACATCTGGGTCTCAACCCCTCACATCTGGGTCCCAACCCTCACATCCGGGTCCAAACCCCTCACATCCGGGTCCTGGCGCCTGCCAGTGGACCTGGAGTTAAGTAACATCCTGGTACTCGCCTCCACATCTGGGTTCCCGTACCTGGAGATGCCTAACATCTGGGTACCGACCCCACATACGGGTTCACGGACCTGGAGGTCCCTAACATCTGGGTACTCACCCCACATCCAGGTTCATGGACCTGGAGGTCCCTAACATCTGGGTACTCACCCCACATCCAGGTTCATGGACCTGGAGGTCCCTAACATCTGGGTAGTTCCCATTCCACATCTTGGTCCTGGACCCTCAGTGGATGTGGAGGGACCTGACATCCGGGATCCCCACACCACATCTGGGTCCTAGACCCTGTCAGTGGAAGGAGAGGAGCATGACATCCGGGACTCCACACGCCACAGCCAGGCCTGTGGATGTGATATCCGGGTCCTGCCCAGCACATATCTGGGTCCCTGCCACAGTCCACATCCGGGTTAATGGACGCGGACTTACATAACATCCGGGTTCCCCATGCAACATCCGGGTCCTGGCCCCTCAGTGGACCTGGAGATAGGTGACATCCGGGTCCCCCAGTCCACATCCGGGTCCTGGCCCCTCAGTGGACCTGGAGATAAGTGACATCTGGGTCCCTGACGCCACATCCGGGAGAGTGGACACGGAGGAGGGTGACATCCGGGTCCCCCAGTCCACATCCGGGTCCTGGCCCTTCAGTGGACCTGGAGATAAGTGACATCCGGGTTCCCCAGGCCACATCTGGGTCAGTGGACACGAATGAGGGAGACATCCGGGTCCCTCCCAGTCCACATCCGTGTACTGGCCCCTCAGTGGACATGAAGGAAGGTGACATCCGGGTCCCTCCTAGTCCACATCCGGATCCTGACCCATCAGTGCATCTGGAGGAAAGTGACATCCGGTTTCTCCATGCCACATCCGGGTCAGTGGACATGGAAGAAAGTGACATCCGGGTCCCTTCTAGTCCACATCCGGGTCCTGGCCCCTCAGTGGACCCGGAGATAGGTGACATCCGGGTTTCTCCCAGTTCACATCTGGGTCCTGGCCCCTCAGTGGACCCAGAGATAGGTGACATCTGGGTCTTTCCCAGTCCACATCGGGGTCCCTCCCAGTCCACATCCGGGTCCTAGCCTCTCCGTGGCCTCTGGTCGGACTGCAGCTTCTGTACAGCACATGCAGGTTTGGAGCCCCACATCCAGTCATCTTCCGGCTGGGGCCCAGGAGTCTTGCTGGAGCCGGACATCCGGGTCTCACGCGCTTTCCCGGCAACCGAACCCAGCGGCCTAAAGGCAGGAATGAAGCCCCACATCCGGGTCTTCTCGGTCTGTTGCCTGGCAACCGAACACAGAGGCCTAGACGCTGCGGTGGAGCCCAATGTCCTGGTATCTTCACTTGGTTGCCCGGCAACCGAACGCCGCGGCCTACCGGCGGGAATGAAGCCCCACATCAGGGTCTCCTCAGTCCGTTGCCCTGCCATGGCACCCAGCGGCCTAGTGGCGGGAATGAAGCTGAACATCCGGGTCTCTGGCACACGGGGGTCGTGTCTGGGCGGCGCCCCGGGGTGGGCGTGGCAGACGTAGGCGCCGCGGTCGCGCTCGGAGGCGGCGCGCACCTCCAGGCTGCCGTCGGCGCCCAACGTGAAGCGGCCATGCCTCTGCGGCCCACGCAGCACCAGCCCCCCGGGCAGGCGCCAGGACACCGGAAGCGTGGAGGTGGGGCAGCGCAGCCGGAAGCTGCCGCCCAGCACCACACGCAGCGCCGCCCCCGGCGCCGCCCCAGGGGGTGGAGTCAGCGCCTCAGAGGGCAGAGTCGGTGCGTCAGGGGGTGCAGTCAGCGCCCAAGATGGCGGGGCAGGCGGGCCAGAGGGGCGGAGCTGCCTCAGAGGGCGGAGCCAGCGCACCAGGGGGCGGAGTCAGCGCCCAAGATGGCGGGGCAGGTGCGTGATGGGGCGGAGCCGGCGCAACAGGAGGCGGAGTCAACGCCTCAGAGGGTGGAGCCGACGCCGCAGGGGGGAGAGCCCGCGCCCACCATGGCGGCAGCCGCACCCACATCCGGGCTTCGCCCGCTGGGTTGCGCGCCACGCACACCACGGCATCGCTGCCACCGCTGTGCAGCGCACGCACATCCGGGATTTCCAACGTCCCGCGCGCATCCACGCTGATCCCTCCCCCCGTGCGACTGCGATACGGGACTGGAAGTACCAGCCCACCCGGAAGTTCCCACAGCAGGCGGGGCTCGGGGACGCCATCCGCCTGGCAGCGCACGCGCAGACGCACCATGGGGGAGACCCGGATGTCGTCGTTCACGTCGTCATGGACGTAAGGCGTGACCCGGATGCGCGGCGCCCGCAGCTGCACGTGTAGGCGCACGGTGGCGCGCCAGCCCCGCCCCGCCACGCACGTGTACGTGCCTGCGTCGGCCCGCCGCACCCCGCGCAGGCGCAGACGCCCGTCCGGCAGCACCCGGAAGTGGGCGTCCTCCGGGCCGGAAGTGAAGGCCATGGGGCGCAAGGCCGGCGTCAGCCACGTCACCGCGCGCGACCCTCGCGTCACTGGGCACGTGAGGGTCACTGGGGCGCCGTAGGGGACGGAGAGCTCAGGGGGCAGCAGGGTGGATGTGGGAGAGGAAGAGGAAGCCGGAAGTGAAGCAGGAAGTGAAGGGGAACCAGGAAGTGAAGAGTAACCAGGAAGTGAAGAGGAAGAGGAAACAGAAAATGAAGAGGAAGAAGGAAGAGGCTGAAAGGAAGAGGAAGAAGAGGAAGAAGGAAAGGAAGAGGAAGAAGAAACATGAGAGGAAGCAGGAAGAGATGGAGAAGAGGAAGAAGAAGGAAAGGAAGAGGAAGCAGGAAAAGAATGTGAAGAAGAGGAAGAAGGAAGAGACTGAGAAGAGGAAGAGGAAGGAAAGGAAGAGGAAGCAGGAAAAGAATGTGAAGAAGAGGAAGAGGAAGGAAAGGAAGAAGAGGAAGAAGGAAGAGACTGAGAAGAGGAAGAGGAAGGAAAGGAAGAAGAAGAAGAAGGAAGAGATTGAGAGGAAGAGAACAGGAAGGGATGAGAGGAAGAAGGAAAGGAAGAGGAAGAAGGAAAAGAAGAAGAGGAAGCAGAGGAAAAGGAAGAAGATGAAGGATGGTGAGAGGAAGAGGAAGGAAGAGATGGAGAGGAAGAGGAAGAAGGAAAGGAAGAGGAAACAGGAAATGAAGAGGAAGAGGAAGACGGAAGTGACTGAGAGGAAGAGGAAGAACCCGCCCCAGGCCCCGCCCCCCCAGCTGTGGTCACACATCCGAGGTCTAACCCAGGCCCCAGGTCCCAGTTCCCCACACTCCCATCAGGCCTCGCGACCCGAACATCCGGGTCTCCCAGGACACCGGATGGGACCTGGAGGCGGTGGTAGGCAGTGCAGTCCTCCCTGGGGTCGGCGTCCTGGGTCACGGGGGTCACGGGGGTCACGGGAAGCCCGGGTTGCAGATAGGAGGCACCTGGCCCAGCCATCAACTCCACGCGCAGCCATGCATGCGCGTCGCCCGCCGCGTTGCGCGCCACGCACACGTACTCCCCCGCATCACGTGACGTCACCGGACGCACGGAGAGCGTGCCGTTGGAAAAGGCGCGGACCCGGATGTCAGAGCTGGGGAGGGGAGGGGAAGGGAGGGCAGGAAGGAAGGAAGGAAGGAAGGAAGGAAGGAAGGAAGGAAGGAAAGAAGGAGGGAAGGAGGGAAGGAAGGAGGGAAGGGTAAAGGAAGGATTGGAGGGAAGGAAGGAGAGAATGTAGGGAAGGAAGGAGGGAAGGAAGGATTGGAGGGAAGGATTGGAAGGATTGGACGGAAGGAAAGATGGAAGGATTGGAGGGAAGTAAGGAAGGATTGGAGGGAAGGAAGGAAGGAAGGATTGGAAGGAAGGAAGGAAGGATTGGAGGGAGGGAAGGAAGGAAGGATTGGAGGGAGGGAAGGAAGGAAGGATTGGAGGGAAGGAAGGATGGAAGGATTGGAGGGAAGGAACGAAGGATTGGAGGGAAGGAAGGATAGAAGGATTGGAGGGAAGGAGGGAATGTAGGGAAGGGAGGTTGGAGGGAAGGATTGGAAGGAAGGATTGGAGGGAAGGAAGGAAAGCTTGGAGGGAAGGAAGGAAGGATCGGAGGGAAGGAAGGAAGAAGGGAAGGAGGGAAGGAAGGAATAAGGGAAGGAAGGAAGAAGGGAAGGAAGAAAGGAGGGAAGGAAGGAAGGAAGGAGGGAAGGAAGTAATAGGAGGAAAGACCATAAGGAAGGGAAGACAAATTTGAAGCCAATGTTAGTTATTCGCACATGTGACATATGCATCCAATACTCATCTTGTATCGATCCCTGACCGATCATCTATCAATGATCGATCACTAGGGTTCTACCTTGCGATCTGGCAAGCCAGGACCTATCAATTACCTATTCACTGCTAATGGATCTACCATCCCCACCTCATCTCTATCAATATTTAATGGATAATCGATTTGTTATCTATGGTCTACTGTGTCTACATCATCTGTCTAATCCATCCTCTATCAATTAACTATCTATCAAGGGGTATCATCTTTATCCCAACTATGGGTGGATAGATGGATGGGTGGATGGATGGATGGATGGATGGGTGGATGGATGAGTGGATGGATGGGTGGATGGATGGATGGGTGGATGGATGGGTGGATGGATGGATGGGTGGATGGATGGGTAGATGGATGGATCGATGGGTGGATCGATGGATGGGTGGGTGGATGAATGGGTGGGTGGATGGATGAGTGGATGGGTGGACGGATGGAGGGATGGATGGATGGATGGGTGGATGGATGGATGAGTGGATGGGTGGATGGATGGATGGATGGAGGGATGGATGGATGGGTGGATGGGTGGGTAGATGGAGGGATGAATGGATGGGTGGATGGATGGATGGATGGGTGGATGGGTGGATGGATGGATGGGTAGATGAATGGATGGATGGGTGGGTGGATGGATGGGTGGGTGGGTGGATGGATGGATGGGTGGATGGATGGATGGGTGGATGGATGAGTGGATGGATGGATGTATGGATGGGTAGATGAACGGGTGAATGGATGGATGGATGCCCCCCACTTCCCACACTCACCTGCTCCCAGCATCCACCAGGCGCCCGTCTGGCAGCCTCCAGAACACGCGTGGGGCGGGATCCCCGCGCGCGTGGCAGTGCAGCGTGAGGTCAGCGCCGTGGGGCACGCGCGTGGCGAGCGGGCCTCGGGGTCGGACGCTGGGGGGGAGACGCGCGGGCGCGGGCGTGACTTCGACGTGCACAGTGCGTCTCGCGCTGCTCAGCGCATTGGCGGCCACGCACTCGTACTCACCGGCATGGCGCGGGGCCTGCAGGCGGCGCAGCACCAGCGTGCCATTGGGGAGGACGTAGACGTCACTGAGTCGAGGGTGCGTGTGCGCATGCACGGGTCTCGCGTGGGTCCCGTCAGGCAGACGCCAGTGCAGGGCCACAGGGGGCCAGGCCTGGGCTGTGCAGGGCAGGTGCAGGGTGAGGCCCGCGTGGGCCGACACGAACTCCGTGGGCGCCTCGCGCAGCACGGGGGGAGCGGGGGAGGCGTGCATGACATTTCCACGTGTGTCAGAGCCACGCATGCGCGCTTCATGTGTATCAGGTGAGTGTGGAAGGGATGTGATCGTGTCCCTTTCACGAGTGATACTTACACGTGTGACCATCGTGTGAGTTTCAGATCCACGCGTGACATTTCCAAGCGTGTCCATCGTGCCAGAGTCAGATCCACTCGTGTCCATTCCACGCGTGTCGGGCGCCGCCGGGGTCAGCTCCACGCCTGGGGATGGACAGACGGACGGAGGGAGGGGCAGAGGGACAGGGCATTGGATAAGAGCCCCTGTGCTGGTCGGAGACAGTGCTCTGTCCCTCTGTCTGTCTGTCCGTCCGGCTGTCCATCTCCGTCCGTCTGTCTATCCATCTGTCTGTCAGTCTGTCTATGTCTGTCTGTCTGTCCCTCTGTCTGTCTGTCTCTGTCAGTCTGTCTGTTCATCTACTTGTCCGTCCATCTGTCCATCTGTCTGTCCGTCCGTTTCTCTGT